CAACTCACTTCGTAACTTAGGGAGCTGCTTCTTTTGTCGTTATATTATATTTAGTTCTGCATCTCATACCTTTGTTTTCGACACTTTTTTTGTTTTGCTTTGCTGACACGTGGAAGGATTTGTATATTCCCAGCAACTTATTGTTTGTCTGCGAAAACTTGGATTTCACATCCAATTTTGTTTCCACTAACATTTTCGCTTAATGATTGTTTGCTTATTTCAGTACGACTGAATAACCTTTACCTAAGCTCGAAAGTCAGAAAGACTTATTCGAGGTGGTTAGAATAAGATAATTAAAGTTTAGAAATGGAATATTCAGGAATGCATCTCTGGCAAGGTTAAAGAATGTAATCTTTTTGACTTTCAAGGTATTTCATCTAGATATCCATTGCCTTGAATGTCAGGAGGACTTACGCTACCTCTGGTTATTTGAACATTTGGTATATCCTTTACATTTTTGCTCGTCAGGGATCCGTTTTTGAGTACGACATCAATCTAAGCTAATTGTCTCTTCCCTTACCTATAAAGTGTTCCATAGATTCAACAAAAACATAGGTACTTGATAACAATCAAATATCTAGTCAGTTTTGCAAAGCAGTAGCAGATGATTGAACCATTTGTCCGTATATTATAATCGGCTCACGAAAGAAAAAGAAGAGAGGGAGATATAGAAGAAATTGTATGAAAGGGTGTAAGAAGGCGAGAGGAGAAAATTGCTTTCTACAAAAAGAAAACTGGTTTATCGTTAGGTTACAAGTTTAGCGAACAAGAGTTGCTGCCATCATCACACATTGTTCCCAAATGATAAGAAAGCTCCCGTTTGATCATTTATTGACGACCAGCTGATAGAAGTGTGAGCTTTTCATGCTCATGGGAGGGTTGAAATTGGAGAAATCTTACTTATCAGGAAATTTGGAAAAAAGACAATGCTTTTTTGAAACATTACACAAGTGAGCAAAAATCTTGAATCAATGATATCTGATGTTATAAAACAGAACTCAGATTATATCAAAACCCAGGAGAATGCTGATGAGTCTATATCCTCCAGTGATTCATCCTAATTAGAGGCATAAATATGTTA